ACACGCACGCACACACACGCACACGCACGTACACGCACACACGCACGCACGCACGAGCGGACGGAGATGCCTCTAACGATGTCGTTACTGTATAGGTGAACGTTGGCTGGGGACTGAGGAGGGTAGAGCTTGCAGGCAGACCTGTCACCGGGGGAGATGTGCGGCGTATTCTGTCCAGCACGTCACTGTCAGCGATTAATAGTTTAATTTTGACGATTGGTGCTTCTGACCATTTTCGTCGGCGACGTTATTAAAAGATTTCGCATTGAAAAGCACGTAAACTGGCCTTTATTCTCCTGTAATAACGCAAATCCCATAACGTACCTGTCATCAACATTACTAAGCCAATTACTATGTCCTCGTTGCTCTCATTAAAGCCCATAATCGCCCTTAATTGAAGAACTGAGGGCGCGGAAGTACCCACTAACCCCCTTCCCCTCCTCCTCCTCTTCCTCCCCCTCCTTCCCCTTATCCTCCTCTTCGCCCTCCTCCTCCTCATCCCCCGCCTCCTTCCCGTGTTGCGTGTGTCGCGCGTTATTACTATTACGTAATTAGTGACGTATTAAATAGATGCGGTGACGTATTAAATAGATGCGGTGACGTATTAAATAGATGCGGTGACGTATTAAATAGATGCGGTGACGTATTAAATAGATGCGGTGACGTATTAAATAGATGCGGTGACGTATTAAATAGATGCGGTGACGTATTAAATAGATGCGGTGACGTATTAAATAGATGCGGTGGCGTTTGCGTCGGCTGTCGCTTGTAACTTCGTTCGGCGGTGTCGCCAGGGGTCGCTGACAGCTGACGCTACCTTTTGTCCCCGGACCGCAGTTTTCTCTCGCGTCACCGAGCTGAAGTTGCATGTTTGATAGGTAGAGAGAGAGAGAGAGCTTCGTTGGCCTCTCTCTCTCTCTCTCTCTTAATCCGAACGTCATAACGTAGACATAATGAGGATGAGCGGTTGGTGGTCCCTCGACGTCGTCGTCGCATGGAAATACGCTTTTAATTTGCCACTTGAAATCCACTTTTTATAAAGAGCCCCACTCCGGCCGTACGTCTGCCGGGAAATGATGGCGTATTGCTGTCGTATGCTGATGCGGCGAATAAGCGGGAAAGGGCATGTGCGCATTTGAAATCATAATAATGATGGTGGTGTGTAATCTGGATTGATGCGGCTGACTGTCTAGCTCTCCCTGCTTCATAATCACGACAGTGTGCGTCGTTGCCAACCACGTTTTAAGTTTATTATTTCTCCTAATCGGAGAAAAATACGATTGTCAATTTATATTACCTCGCTTGACAGAGATTGGCGCGGTGACATACCATCGTGGGTGGAATCATTAGTGTTGTTCTTACCGCATGATGTAAGAAATTATCTCAGTTGATGGTCAACCTGTTGCCCTCGTCTGTTTCAGATGCGAACGGGGCAGTACGCGAACTGGTGTTTCCGAAAGGTTTAGATCTCGATCGACCAAAGAGAGCCAGGACGACTTTCTCGGCCGATCAGCTGCATCAACTAGAGAAGGAGTTTCAGAATAATCAGTACTTGGTTGGCCGGGATCGTACGGAGCTAGCCGATCAGTTAGGACTTACGGAAACACAAGTATGTTCCGTGTAGGATACAAACTGCTGCTGTGTAGTTTACTGCTGCTGCTGCTGCTGCTGCTGCTGCTGCTGCTGCCGCCGCTACTGCTGCTGATGCTGCTGCTGCTGCTGTTGCTGCTGTTGCTGCTGTTGCTGCTACTGTTGCTGCTGCTGCTGCCGCTGCTGCTGCTGATGCTGCTGATGATACTGGGTCTGGGCTACTGGCTACTGCTGTGATGCTCTGCTGGCCGCTGCCTTGGTGCTGGCTGCTGGCTGACTGCTGCTGATGCTGGTGCTGCGGGCTGCTGCTACTCTGTGCTGCTGCTGCTGATAAATTTTACTAGGTTTGTTCTTTAGCGCATGTATCAAATCATCAAGTTCATTACTTTCTATCTAACACATGCGGTTCGTTAGATTAATACATTTCTTGATGCGTGCGTTCTAAAAACTTAAATTAACACTTTTCTGCGGTTACGCACCTTCATCTATGCATATGAACGTCTTTATAAATTTAATATTAATTTTATTGTAATTGTAGTTATTATATTATTAGCATTATTATTATTATTATTTCCAGATCATTGTATTTTTAATTTTCAGGGGGGGTGGGGGGCTGTATCCGGGCACATTAATATTATTACATTATATAACGTTTTGCGTATTCAGTCTCGCTTTGTTTTCTTTCTCTACAAAATAGAACAATGTAAAGCTTATAGTTATATTGATAGTTTAGATTTCAAGTTTAATTTTCTCGTGACCTTTCATCTCAAGGTGCTTCTCGTATCGCAGGTGAAGGTTGTTGTTTCAGATCGCGAACAATCATCAAGGCAGACAAGATGCGAGACGCAGAGGTTCAGGCGAAGCAATCGCGTCGAACTTTGCCGCCGACAACATCCTTAAGTTTCTGCACCAAGCGCCAACGGCTTAACTGCTCCTTCTCCACCCGTCCGCCTAACCCGTCCCTCCTTCCAGCTTAAGCGCAAAGTTTGATCCGCCGAGCGAAAGGAGAGAATAATTATTTGTACATAAATTAAAAATTATTGCCGACGTCCGTTGTGATTTTTTTTCAGCCTGAATAATGCCTAGTCGAATCGTGGCGTTATTTCTAAGCCACTTTGTACGATAACTAATGATAGTGGGTATATAATGAGATGATGAAGGTTTGCTGTCAAACAGCACGTATCGACTGCGATAAAATGCTACCTCTGTTTACAAATCGTCATCAGTCATGTAGACATAGTTCGGTGTCCTTCCCTAAGTACATTAGTTTAGCGTTTATAGGTCAATTGTGATAAATAGCCCATACACGCGTACGGGCCCGTTATAACAGGACGGTTAAAAGATTAAAAACCCAACGTTTATGTACTGGTTATTAACCACTATGGATACATAAATTCTGAAATTAGGTACGTTCTAATTAAAAACTACTGGTGTTTATCGGTTTGTGATTCAGTCACGCCCCTATCATAGCAATTCGTGTCAAATTGTTGTTCATTACTACTGTGTAATATACATTTACTAGTGGTATCTCGAATTATGTCGTATATTGGTGTCTGACAATAAACCAATGGAGATAATAGAACCCTAAATTGTTTAGCTTATATTTATATTTATATCTTAATCTGTTTATATTTATAGGTTATCATTTATCATTTACATTTCATTTACATTTACCATTTACATTTACTTATATATTTATATTTATAGTTTATAGTTTTATGTTTATATTTTTATTATGAGTTAGTATAACAATAATTTTAAAATGTTTTTTTCTTGCTAAAGTCAATGAGAACAGATATCAAATAATCTGTCTGTAACAACGTGTGTAAGTGTTTACCGGCTGCCATATCGAAATGCTCACATCGTTATAAGCGTGTGTAAGATTATGAAGTATAGGTATATAGGTTCCTATATGCTTATAGTATATAGGAATAGAAGTACTAATAACAATTAAATTCGCTTGCATACACGCATTCACGCTGCCGGTTTAAACGGTATTTATAACTATGCAGGCATAAATATTACAAATGGCGACGGCGACAGTAGAATGAAGTGGTTGGAAGTAGAAAATCCAGTGAGAAGGCATTAGCGAACTTCCTACTGCAATTGGCCTCATCTCCTAACTTTATCTGTCCAGCGTTCAGAAAGGTTTAGATCGTTTAGGAATCTACCTGCTGTCTTTCTCTATCTATATACGTAGTTGGGTCATTACGACAGACCGGCGCGGGGAATGGGTCGAACACCGCCGTACAAGCTACTAAGCTGAGAGTTACCAAGGCCAAATTAGTCGCTAACCTCTCCCCCTTTATCTAAGGTGCCACGGATGAGCTTGGATATTAGAAGGGAGGGGAAGATTTACTGAGGCTGCACCGGTAACTCATATAGCGTCTGAGTTAAGCAGCCGGAGACATGATTCTCCATGTCTGCGCGAATAGAAGGAAGAGTAAAGGTAAGGAAGTGAAAGGTTAGCGATAGATATTGTTTCCTTTACAACAGCGAGAGGGTCTACTCTTTGCGAACGGGAACTTCTCCATATCAGACGAAACTGCATAGGATCAGCACGTAATAGGGGTCAATTCAATGAGGAAGAAAGAATATATATTATTAACAAACTATTTAGTGACGCAACACGCGGTGCGATGACATCGAGTTGGATGATTACGAAACGGTAAACATTCAATCATGTTAAGCGATGGAAAATTGATATCAGCAAACAAGTGGTGGTGTAAATTGTCCC